CCCTAATTCAGGGACAGATTTTGAGTTGGTTTAACTGATTCCTCACCTATGCAGGTATCTCTCAGGGTCTCTCTTTCCTCAGAGTCCTGGAGGTCTTGGACCCATGGCTCCTCCACTCGCTCCAGCCAGGAGATCACATCAGGTTTGGAAACTGGAAACCCTGCACAAGTGACAGAAAACGAGCGAGATCAACTGAATTTGCAGGATACTTGTGTCACATTCTGGGGGTGCAATCCAGACCCCCGAAAGGTTGTTTCACCACCTGCCCTGTAATCCTGGGTTCCTCACAATGCTTTGCTGTTGTAGCTCCTAACCTGGGCTGCGGAGAAACAGCCTACCAGCGTGCAGGTCACACCCTGAGTGTTTGTGTAAGGCTACAGCCCTGGCCCAGCAGCCTGTCAACAACATTCCAGTCCCACTCCACCAGGCCTCCACCAGCCTGGGTTACTGATGTGCAGGGTGGCCCCAATAAACTCCCCGGCCCAAATTTCCCCCAAAACGCGTGTTCTGCACTGGCCAGCCCTCTCCTGGATAGTTCACATAAGAGAGGTCTTTTGCCCATCAAGGGACCAATATTTAAGAATTTGCTACTTTAACTGGAGTTAGCAAACACTTCAGTTTGAACACAACACTGGATTCGTTTTGATTACAAATAAAACAAGTTTATTTAACTACAAAGAGAGAGATTTGAAGTGAGTACAAGCATAAAGTATTAAAAAGTCAGAAATGGTTACAAGAGAAATAAAGATAAAATGTTTTCTAAAACTTAACAACGCACAACTTCGTTCAAGGTAAAATCCTTAGCACGTGTTCCCAGGGTTGACCAAATTGTCAGGTCAGGATCTCCACCAAAGTCAAAGGGCTGGTTCCTTTGTCTTCTTCTCCTGCCCCCTCCCCGCCCTTAAACCTAATAAGTGCCTTGGGGTGTTTTTGCCCCTCTCTTTTATAGTCCAGTCACCCTTTTAAGTGGATTCTACTCAGGATTGCCCCTCAAAGCAAAGTTTATTCAAACAGCAAAGAAGGTGACC